TACATAATCGTACATTAGAAAAAGGTAAATGGGTGCGAATGACTGAAAGTGAACACGTGGCTGTGAATAATTCAAAAATTGTTGCCTGTCTGAGCACCTGATTTCGAATGCGTCGTCTTATGGCAGACAAAAAGCAATCGAAGTGAAATCAATTGTCGAGGAGTAATGAAAATATGTAAGTGGAAGTATGAAGTGAAAAAATTAGAAAGAATTTTAAGTAATGAAACACAGATAAACGTTAAATTGAAAGGGAGCGCCCTGAACTTAACCTTTTTAATGGACTCACGTACATACACAGCTGCATACGTACATACATAAATATGTATTGATGTTATGTCTAGCAAGAGCAAGAACAAAAGGGCGGTGGTCAATTTGGGTGGATGAGTGGATAAAAGTAGGTGGTATTTTTCAATGGGTGTGGAACAATATGTGATTTCCCATGTGTATCGTAAATATGTATACACCCAGCAAAAACTTTTCTTTTTTTTTTTGTAAGCGCTTACTTTTTGTATCGATTGAGTAACGCATTACAATACGCCTCAAGACAAAATCTTTCTCGTTTACCCGCTGCATTACCCGTTTTTAAAATTTTTAAAATTTCTCGCTTATCTCTAATGGTATGAGGTGAATTTCGTAATATATGCTTACCAATCGAGATACACCACTCACCTTCTAGTTTACAGAACGCATTACTTTAACTTGAGCATGTCATTGGAGGTAAGCGAGAAATTGTAAAAATGCAGTGGGTAAACGGGAAAGTGAAAAATTTTGTCTTGAGGCGTATTGTAATGCGTTACTCCATCGATACAAACAGTAAGCGCTTACCAAAGAATCAAAGTTTTTGCTGGGCATATACATACATACATATGTTGGGGGATGGTACTAATTAAGGTAGTTGAGTTCAATAACCACAAACTTTTACGTAGAGGAGTGGGAACAATTAACTTTCACTTAACACCGGGCGACAAAAACAAAAAAAAAATCAAAACACATGAAAGAATCAATATACACACGAAACTATGGGCCAAATAAATATAGTAAAACTGCGTTTTTCGTTTTTCTCTCTGGAGTCAGAATTTGTTTAAAAAGGACTTTGTTATTCAGTGCAATGTATAATAGCAATAGGCGTACCTAATCAAAGACACAATTCTGTCGAATTTAATTCATTTAAATTTAAATTCAAATATTTTGGTTCACGAGAATGAACAGGTATTGAAAAAGCCCTTTTAACAAATTTTATTTTTTAAAGCTTATAAAGTTAAAGAGACGAAACTCGAGGATGTGTCGAGTATACATTAGTCCTTAAAATATAATTTTTTCAGAAATAAACATTGCAAAATGTCAAGGAAATTCCTCTTCTTCTTCTTATTTGGTACTGTAACCGCCTAAGGAATTTTGGCCGAGTTCAACAAAGCACGCCAGTCGTTTCTTTTCTGTGCCAGCTAACGCCAATTGGAAACGCCAAGTCCTTCTCCACCTGATCTTTCCATCGCAGTGGGGGCCTCCCTCTTCCTCTGCTACCACCAGCGGGTTCCTAGTTGAATACTTTCAGAGCTGGAGCGTCGGTGTCCATTCGAACGACATGACCAAGTTAGCGGAGCCGCTGTATTTTAATTCGCTGCACTATGTCCATGTCGTTGTAAATCTTCCGCAAAATCTTTATCTCGAATACTCCAAGAGCCGCCTCATCGGATGTTGTCATTGCCCATGCTTCTGCGTGGTTTTCGTACGTCGAGAGAGGACTTTACTCCTGAATTGCCTACTCAGTCCAAAGTAGCACTTGTTGGCAAGAGTGTTCCTGCGTTGGATTTCCATGCTGACCTTATTATCGGTGTTAATGCTGGTTCCCAAGTAAACGAAATTCTCTACTTTTTCGAAATTATAACTGTCAACAGTGACGTGGGCGCAAATGTGCTGACTGTTTGTTAGATGGCAGGAGATACTTTGTCTTGTCCTCGTTTACCACCAGATCCATTCGCTTTGCTTCCTTATCCAACTTGGAAAAGGTAGAACAGATTTCGCGGTTATTGTTACCGATGATGTCGATGTCATCGGCGGACGCCAGCAACTGTACGCTCTTGTAGTAAATTGTTCCCGAGCGGTTGAGTTCTGCAGCTCTTATTATCTTCTCCAACATCAGATTAAAGAAGTCAGACGAAAGTCTGAAACCCCGTTTGGTGGCGAACGGCTCGGAGAGGTGTTTCCCAATTCTGACGGAGCTGGTGGTATTGCTCAACGTCATTTTACACAGCCGTATCAGTTTGGCGGGGATGCCAAATTCAGAAATAGCGGCGTATATGCAACTCCTTGTAGTGCTGTCGAAAGCGGCTTTAAAGTCGGCAAATAGGTGGTGAGTGTCGATCCTTTTCTCGCGGGTCTTTTCCAAGATTTGGCGTATTGTGAATACTTGGTCTATGGTAGATTTGCCAGGTCTAAAGCCACACTGATAAGGCCCAATCAGTTCATTGACGGTGGGATTCAGTCTTTCACACAATACGCTCGATAAGACCTTGTAACCTATGCTTAGAAGGCTGATCCCGCGGTAGTTGGCCCGATGGCTTGGTCGCCTTTCTTGTGGATTGGGCAGAGCACACTTAAATTCCAGTCGTCGGGCATGCGTTCATCTGACCATATTCTGCATAAGAGTTGATGCATAGACCTTATCAACTCCTCGCCACCGGACTTGAATAGCTCAGCTGGCAGCCTGTCAGCTCCAGCAGCTTTGTTGTTTTACAGCCACGTTATTTCTATTCGTACCTCGTCAGTCAGGCGGAGGAACATCGACTCCGTCACCATCGACTGGGGGATCGGGTCCTCCTTCTCCACAACTTTCCGTGCTGCTACCATTCAGTAGCGTGGAAAAGTGTTCCCATTGTTGTTCTTACAGGAGTACGCCCTGGTCTTGAAACCTTTCGTAAGTTGCCTAACTCTCTGGTAAAATTTGCGAGCATTCCTCCTCTCGGCAGGCATTTCAAGCTCTTTGCACTCACATATTTCGGCCTCTATCTTTTTGTTGCGGCAAATACGTCTCGCTTCCCTATTCAGATCCCTATAGCGGTTCCACATAGCGCGCGTTGCGCCCGATCGCAGCGTGACCCTATAGGCGGCGTCTTTTTTCTCTGCAGCTTCCTGACACTCCTCATCGTACCAGTTGTTCTTTCGGGCTCGCTGAAATGCGACTACTTCTTCGGCGGCGGTACTTAATGAGTGGGAGATGTGGTTCCACTGCTCGCATAAGAAAATTCCAGGAGATGGAAACTCGGAGTTGGTTTTTAGTATCTAATGGGGTATACTTTCATAAAATAATAATAAATATTAAATAAAAAAAGGTAAATGATCAAAAAATTTTAAAATGTCGCGTCCCTATTTATATGTTCGCCACTGTAAGTATACTACAACTGCGATTTATTTAGGTTGGCATCTCGTATTACGCTTTCCAACATCAGATTGAAGAAATCGTACGAAACTGAATCACGTGGCTTAAAATTTCATTCAATCTCAAATAACGTGCAGGGGTTAATCCCAATTTGTACGGAGCTAAAAGTTGTAGATATTCTAATGAAACTGATTCTATAGCGAGATCAAATGTATCTTCTCGGAATGTGAACGACGCTTCAAAAACTGAATTACTCAAAATGGAGGTATCGCAAGGCACCTGCCTGAAGTTCCTTTTAGCATTATCGTTCCACTTCACTTCGTTTAAAAACTCTTAATACAGCTATCGGTTCTCTCCATAATAAGCATTGTCTCTACTACAAATATTTTTGCTTCTGAATGTAGACAATGTTCCTCTACTCCTTAATTATAAAAAAAATGATTGCCTACGGACTCATACTAAAGGACTCGATTGCTCAAAAAAATTTAAGTGTAATATACAGTGGGGAGAAAAATGCCAAAATGGTATTTTTTTAGTATTAACATGTTTTTCATATTAAAACATATTCCTTGATGCTTGATTAAAATATTGGCCATGCTATGGCTAAAACAGATTTAAACAGAGTTTTAAACCAAAGAAAAAAATTAGAAAGTTTTTCACATTTGCATCAAATTTACTAACTTTTTGATATGTATTTGTAAAACACTTCTGCAGTCGTATAGCCTATCAAAATTTAGTATAATAAAGTGTAAGTTTGAAGACTCTAGAAAATCGGGTTGATTTTAATTTTTATATCGAGCTCTAACCGCCAAAAAAACGTAAGCAACATATTTTTCAAAAATTTTCTTTTTGATGCAGAATATGCAGCATCTATATGCAATTCTGCATCAAAAAAATATTTAAAAAATCCTGTCGCTTGCGTTTTTTTGGCGGTTGAGTCCTGATATATATTTTTTACTCCTTAAAGCACTTTTATTCCTTAAAGCATTTTGTTGGAATCTTTAAACTTGCACCCTATTATACAAAAATTTCATGGGTTATAAATGTTTCTTACTGAAAAGTTTTTTACAAATTGATATCATAAAGTTAGAAAATTTGAAGCATTTTTCATTTTTTTTTGTTGTGGTTTAAAACCTTGATTAAAGCTGTTTTAGCTATAGCATGGAAAATATTTAAATCAAATATCAACGAAAAGGTTTAAATATGAAACACATGTTAATATTAAAAAAGTAACCATTTTGCTCCCCACTGTGCATAGATTAGGGTAGTCATCAAAATATCAAATCAAAATTTTGTATGAGGCACCCATGTACTTTGTTCGACGTACAAAATAAAGACGTCCACGAGCTTTTAAAAAATTTTAGACAATTTTAGGGCCGCTACCAGGGTTTTGAAAATTTTTAATTTTTTAACCCAAAAGTACACAAAAATCCTTTAATCTAAACAAAAATTGTTCAAATAAAAGTAAAAAAAAAAAATGCGTTTTGAGTTCAACAAGGCCATACTATTTAACTCTCCTTTTACATAAACTTCTTGGTATTCTTTTCAATTTAAATATTTATAAACCATATTAAGACCCACCCTAACATACTCTGACATATTTCTAATAAATTCAAATACTCACCATTTAATAATTTAATCTGTAACATTTGTTTCCATATACAGACGCTATGTGACTGCTACCACGGTTGTTGTTGTTGTTGTTTTTTTTTTAACTGACACTATTGTTTACACATCTTCCACAGCAGTCATTTCCGTTAGTGGCACTCTTTCCTAGCACCGACTGTGTCTAATTCACGTCTACTCCCACAGCTTTTTTGTGTTTGTATTCTTTTGTTTTTGTTTGCAATGTGTGATTGTTTCACTCGCTTTTTGATTGCTTCTAATCTGTTTGGTTAGCGTTTAAATAATCACTGAGATTTATCATTCTTTCACTCCGTTCCCTGGAAGCCACTTACATACAGTATTGGACATATCTATAGCACCCCCCTTTCAAAGCGATATTGTTTGCCACTTATGTTTAATTATTTGTTTTTAAGAATTTTCAATTAAAATACAGTTCATTCTCTAACAAAACCCATATAAACCAATGTTTTAAACTTTTTAAAAGACCGCAAACAAGTCCAACAAACTTTCCCTTAAATTTCAAACTTTTTTCTCAGAAGCTCTAGAATTTTTTTGAGTACACAGTTTTATAGCGCATTCAATTTTGTCCAATAATGTGGAAGTTTCAAGTCGCTAAAGATTACCGTTGATTTTTTAGAATTTTTTTTTGTCTCATTTGCTTCCATATAACGACTTAACACAATTTATTTTTATATGGCAGAAACCCGCAACATCCTCGGCGAAAAAAATTCTAAAAAATCAACGGTAATTTTTAGCCACTTGAAACTTGCACATTATTAGACTAGAATTGAATGGGCTATAAAACTGTGTATTCAAAAAAATTCTAGAGCTTCTGAGAAAAAAGCATTTTTTTGCGGTCTTTTAAAAAGTTTTAAACTTGAGTTTATGTGAGTTTTGTGAGAGAATGAACTGTATTTTAATTGAAAATTCTTAAAAATAAATAAATAAACATGAGTGGCAAACAATATTACTTTGAAATGGGGGTGCTATTGTATTGGCCAATACTGTATGTGTATAAACTTGTGTGTCAAGCGCAATTTTTCAGCACAACAAATTACTACTTCCTTAATCTTTTGGTTCGTTTCGTTAATAATCATTTCTCCTTTTTTCCACGCTTTACAGTTGTACGCTTTTCACATTCTCTACTTGATTCATACATATCAATCTTTATATCTAACTATACATACAAATGTATTTTTGTTACACAAATCACAAACACTTTCTTGTTCGAGTGAAGCCAACATCCGCTGAGTTTTGCTGCACATATTAAAACACACACACACACCTAGCCACACTTATGTAATTACTCAATCATAATTAAACTAACACATGCAATCATAAATAAAGGTAGGTGTGTATGTGCTGCTTTGCGAACATATTTATTTATCTTCCTGCTCTTGGCAAAGCAAATGATGTCACTTTAGCTTTGTTGTTAGAATTCAACCAGCTTGCACTCAACTTCCGTTTGACTGGCTGTTTGCGATACTAATACGCACGCAGACGCTATTGAAAAATTGCTTGTGCGAATACTTGAACGTTGCATATTTCTAGGACAGTCTCTTAGTTTGTGTGTAGCTTAGCAAATTGATGCCACCCATTCTGTTTGTTTATGTTTTGTTTATGGCACTGTTTCTAAGTTCACTTCGTTGTAGTCTGCTTTGGTGCAAAACAAAAAAAAAAAACAAAAAAATTATTCGTTTGCAGTGCGTGAGTAAATTATTCAAAATTTTCTCTTTCTTTTACGCATTCATATTTATGTAAGTATGTCTGTATTTGTTTCATTTATTTAAGTGCATGTAAAAGTTAGTGTTCGTGCTGTTATTGATTTTTCTGCAATTTTATGTGATTTATATTTTCTTTATGTATTTTGATTTATACATTACTTGCATTTGAAAACAAAAACAACCTATTTTTACATTAATTAGGTTATAAATTATTTTTGTAAATAAAATTTAATAACTCCAATAAAGTACTTATCTTGTCAGTAAAAATTAGTATGTGGCTCATAAATGAAATTACAGAAATCAATATTCAAATGAAATAATGATATTTGAAGGGACTTTCTTCATAACTGAAACTTGATTGTTACTAATTTTAGGAGTTTGAGAAAGCTGAATTGTGTTGTTGTTATTGTTGTAGTGGGTACATAAGCCCCAAGGTCAACTCTCGATAATAATAATAAAGATATAGATTGGCGCTTACACATATGTTAGTGTTTGGCCACGCTTCTCCTCCGATTTGTGGCGTGCGCCTTGATGTTGTCACACAAAGGGTAGGGACCTGCAGTTTTACGCCTACTCCTAACGGCGATTGTATTTTTATGAAAAGCTGTTTTTCATTGCAGAAATACACTCGGAGGTTTGCCATGAACTTCTCTCAAAGTTTAAACTGCTGGCAAATGTAAATAAGGATTAAAATTTAATACCTAATTAATACAACTAAAGTAAAATCTGTGGAAAATTAAAAATAAAATACTTTTTTCGCAAAATCTATAAACGGCCCTTGAATTTCTCAAAAAAAAAAACGGGGTAACAGTTTTTCGTCGTCACGCTGTATTTTGAAAAATTAAATGAAATTAAAAAAATAGAATTTTATTTTTAAAACAATGAAATCTAAAAATTAAAAATAAATTAAATTATAAAAAGAAAAAACTTAATCCAAAAAGAAGAAAATAGTACATAAAAACTAAATGAAATAAAAAGAAATATTTTTATTTTTAAACCAAAATCTAAAAACTAAAAAAAAAACCTAAATTAAAAAAACATAAAATAAAATAAGATCCTAAATATTAAATGAAATAAAACAAATACATTTTTCTTTTTAAAACAATAGAGTATACAAATTAAAAGAAAATGAAAAGAAAACCTAATTAAATTAACAAAAACAAGGAATAAACAAAAAAAGCTTCTAAAAATTAAATGAAACTAATCCGGTTAAACAATAAAATATAAAAATTACAAGAAAATTAAACTAAAAAAAATATTGAAAAAACCAATAATATAAGTTCCTAAAAATTTAACACAGTTAAAAAAAAATATTTTTAAGACAATATATGTAATTTAAAAATTCAAAGAGAATCAAATTAAAAAAGAAAAAAAAATTAATTAAAAGAAGTCATTTTTAAGCAAACAAGCAATTTTTAATCAAAAAACGAAACCGATTTCAATTCTCATATAAAAATTTATGAGTTCCGTTAATTTCTTAATGATCCAATGATCAGATCAAATACTAGTATGGGACCATCTCTGAGGTACCAACTTTCCTTAAAAAAAAGAATTATAGAAATCGGTTACCGTGGTCCAAATAGGCTGTGTCAATTTATCGATTTTATCAAACCGATTGTTGAATTTTGGTGTATTGATTTTATCTCTCACCTGTGAGGTAACAAAAAAATTATAGAAATCTGCTAACGTGGTACAAAGTTACGCGGTAACTTACCTAAAAAAAAAAAGAAAAAATATTCCGACGAATTGATAACCTTTCTCCTTTTTTTGAAGTCGATTAAGAAAAAAAATAAAAATTTCGTTTCTACCGAAAAATGCAACCTTCTCTTTGCTCTCTACGCACAAACACTAAGCAGAGGGGGATGAGAAGGCAACGTTTTCAACTATGCGCGTGTAACACAAGTGGGACCCTACGCAAATTTGCCGAAGTAACCATGAGTCAAAAATCAATTTGGAGTTTGCCAAAGTGCAAAAATAGGTTTATTAGCATTTTGCTGTGGTGCCGTAAAGAAGTGCTATAAGGGGTTTTTTGGTATGAAGAATCCATTTCTGCACTTATCTTTTTCTTAAAACTTCCACCAGAGGGTGCAACATTAATCATTTTCACATTTTTTTCGAAACCAATTTTGCCAATGGGGCGAACTCCAAATTGATTTGAGACCGATGGTTTTTCGGAAAATTTGCGTAGAATCCTCCTGGCATACGCGCAGAGTCAAAAAAAATTTACCCACCCTAGTATGCATATTTTTGACGCTGACTGTAGATATTTCGCCAGTACGCATTTTAGTAAATGCGAGAGAAAGAAAGAAGAAGCGTGAGGTGAATATCTTACCCGATAAACTAATGGCTGAGTAATATTTCTTACAAAATAAAAAAACAATAATTCACAACAAATTCCTGGAGAACTAGGATATTTATGAAGGAAGTAAACAATACAAATTTACTTTATAAAATGTGTCTTAACTGCCCTTAGTAGAACATACTAAGCATCAGATTTTACAATAGGTGCAAAATTCAGTCGAACAGAAAAATGTTTGAAAGTTTAGATAGAATTAGATGCAGAGAATAGATAGCGGCGTAGTATGAAGGATGCACTGCTACCTAAACATCTATTCAACTCTCTCCTCCTTTAGATATTCAGAAGATCGCTTGTGGTTAAGAAGTGTAAGTACATATGTATGTACTTTCGCTATGGCCATAAGGGGCAAACAAATTTCTCGCGTCTTCTTGAGACGACGTCGCACTGCAGAAGTAGCTGCGATAGTGTCTCCATAGCCAAGTCGTTCAGATGTTTGCCTTGTTCGAATAGTGGCTTTTCGAGACAGCGTCCTTTATAGGATCAAAAGTTTTTCCTTTAGATATTTTATTAAAAAATTAAAACCTCTTCAGATTGTACGCCACCAATATTCATTTCGTTTTCCGTAGCCCCAATACATTGACCTAGTGGTTTTACTCCTTCTTTTTCGTCTCTCTCGGGCTTTCTTTTTTAATAGTGTGCTGACTTATCGCAAAGAAGAGCGCAGGCCTCACTGCTGTTGTTGCCGTTGCATCTCTTACTAATCTGTCTTGTTTCTTATTGATCTCAAGGCATGGCTTTGTTGTCCAAAGCATCTAAGTAGATATCTTTAGAATTTGGTTCCTCCATACGCTCCACGACTAGGGAGGTTTTTACCTTATGTTTCTCATGAGCCGTGAATGCCACAGGCTATCGCTAAGATAACTATTCGCTCATTTTGGCAGTGCGTATGGCAATTTATGTATCTCTACACACATATTTTCGCTTGAAAATACTCGGGTTTTGACACAGATACTCTAAATATTGAGGTTTCTTCGAGACTCGTTCTTTTTACCTTTTATTAGCTTGGGATGTAACTATGTAATAATGATGCGCCTAAAAGATGCAGCGATTTCCATTCTCAATTTACGTAGCGAGTTTTTAGTTTTTTAAATTATAATTTTTTATTAACAAGTAGCTGCAATAATTACTTGATAACTGACATTGCGCCTAAAACCCCACTATAAATGCAATATATACAT